GGGGCCCTCCAACAAGAAAGTGCCCAGGCGTAAGTGCCAACAGGTCAGTGGGGTCTTCGGACATCGGCGCGAGCGGACGCGAATTCAGGCATGCTTCGATCCTAGCTAGAAGCGTGGACAGCTCTTCGAATGCATATTTTCGCGTCGCCGTAGACTTGTAGAACAGGGTCTTGAAGCTCTTAACACCTGCTTCCCACAAACCTCCCATGTGGAGTGCTCCCGGAGGAATGAATTGCCAGAGCAGCTGCTGGTGACTATAGGCACCTGTCACAGCTTCCTTGAGAGCTTGGAGAAACTCGCGGGAGAGTAAGGCAGCCGCACCCACAAAGGTCTTGCCATTGTCCGACTGAACTTGACGGGGGCATCCTCTTCGGGACACGAACCGGGCGAAGGCGGCGAGAAACTTCTCAGTCGTAAGGTCGGAAGTAGGTTCTAAATGGATGGCCTTAGTGGCGAAGCACACCAACACCAGCACATACCCTTTCGTAATGAGACAGGCTCGTCCCGTGTAGTTTTTGATGTCAAAGGGACCGGCATAGTCCACACCGGTATATGTGAAAGGGCGCGAGAAGGACGTTCGTTCTTTTGGTAAGTCTCCCATCAGGTGCGTTTGCAACCTCTTTTTGTGGATGATGCAGACCTTGCATGAATATATGACGGACTTGACCAAATTCCTCACCCTCGGGATCCAGAACTTGAAACGGATCAAACGGATCATAAGCTGATTGCCACCGTGCAGCGTTATGCGATGCGTAAAATGGACGAGGAGTCGAGACAGATGGCAATCGTATGGAAGGATGACAGGATGCCGTTCATCATACTGGAGAAGTTCGGAAGCCGTGACTCGGCCGCATGCTCTCATGAGCCCTTGGGAATCAATGAACGGGTTCAGGTTTTGGACCAGGCTTGATGCTAGCACTGGCCGTTTCTGGCTTAAGCAGCCCATCTCAAGGGCAAAGTGCCTGCGTTGCGTGACGGAAATCAGGAGCCGCTCGGCCGACGCAATTTCAGGAGCTGTCAAGGGATCCTCAAACGGGGACATGAGCTTTCGCGAACGCTGGATGAACCGATGAGCGTAAGCGAGGACTCGCAACGCCTTTTGATTAAAAAACCGAAAAACCGAGCTGATATTATTCGGATCTGGGCCTTGTAATAATTGGGTGGGGCACATGATTTCTTGTCGAAAAAATTTTTCAAATCATTTTTTTTTCTGTAAATAACACTTTGTTGGAAATTTTTTAACGAATTCAACAAGGGTTCTTATTAAAATTTTTCAAATGATTTTTTTTTCTGTAAATGACACTTTGTTCGAAATTTTGTAACGAATTCAACTAGGTATGCCATTCCAACATACGACCACTTTCCCAGGGTTTTAATTAAAAAAGCGAAAAATCGAGGTGATTTTCTTCGGATTTTGGATTTGTCATAAGGGATGGGGTCCGGTTTTTTTTTTGAAAAAATTTTTCAAATGTATTTTTTTTTCTGTAAATGACACTTTGTTGAAAATTTTGTAACGAATTCAACTAGGTATGTCATTCCAACATCCGACCACTATTTCCCAGGGTTTTGATTAAAAGCATGAAAAATCGAGGTGATTTAGATTTGAGCCTTGTCATAAGGGTGGGGGTCATGGTTTTTTTTGGAAAAAATTTTTCAAATGATTTTTTTTTTCTGTAAATGACACTTTGTTGGAAATTTTGTAATGAATTCAACGAGTCGAATTCAACATTCGACCACTGTTTCCCATGGTTTTGATTAAAAAACCGAAAGAACGAGCTGATATTATCCGGATCTGGACCTTGTCATAATGGGGTGGGGGACATGGTCTTTTGTCGAAAAAAGTTTTCAAATTATTTTTTTCTGTAAATAACACTATGTTGGAAATTTTTTAACGAATTCAACAAGGTATGCCATTCCATTATCCGACCAATATTTCCAAGGGTTTTGATTAAAAACCTAAAAAATCGAGGTGATTTTCTTTGGATTTGAGCCTTGTCATAAGGGTGGGGGTCATGGTTTTTTTGGAAAAAAATTTTCAAATGATTTCTTTTTTCTGTAAATGACAATTTGTTGGAAATTTTGTAACGAATTCATCGAGGTATGATATTCCAACATACGACCACTATTTCCCAGAGTATTGATTAAAAAACCGAAAAATCGAGGTGATTTTCTTCGGATTTTGGATTTGTCATAAGGGATGGGGTCAGGTTTTTTTTTTTTTAATTTTACAAATGTTTTTTTTTTCTGTAAATGACACTTTGTTGGAAATTTTGTAATGAATTCAACGAGGTATTCCAACATTCGACCACTATTTCCCATGGTTTTGATTAAAAAACCGAAAAAACGAGCTGATATTATCCGGATCTGGACCTTGTCATAATGGGGTGGGGGACATGGTCTCTTGTCGGAAAAATTTTTTTAAATCATTTTTTTTCTGTAAATAACACTTTGTTGGAAATTTTTTAACGAATTCAACAAGGTATGCCATTCCAACATCCGACCACTATTTCACAGGGTTTTGATTAAAAACATGAAAAATCGAGGTGATTTTCTTTGGATTTGAGCCTTGTCATAAGGGTGGGGGTCTTGGTTTTTTTCGAAAAAATTTTTCAAATGATATTTTTTTCTGTAAATGACACTTTGTTCGAAATTTTGTAACGAATTCAACGAGGTATGATATTTCAACATACGACCACTATTTCCCAGGGTTTTGATTAAAAAACCAAAAAATCGAGGTGATTTTCTTCGGATTTTGGATTTGTCATAAGGGATGGGATCAGGTTTTTTTTTTTGTAAAAAATTTTACATATGTTTTTTTTTTCTGTAAATGACACTTTGTTCGAAATTTTGTAACGAATTCAACAAGGTATGCCATTCCAACTTCCGACCACTATTTCCCAGGGTTTTGATTAAAAACCTGAAAAAATCGAGGTGATTTTCTTTGGATTTGAGCCTTGTTATAAGGGTGGGGGTCATGGTTTTTTTTCGAAAAAATTTTTCAAATGATTTTTTTTTCTATAAATGAAACTTTGTTGGAAATTTTGTAACGAATTCAACTGGGTATGCCATTCCAACATCCGACCACTATTTCCCAGGGTTTTGATTAAAAACCTGAAAAATCGATGTGATTTGCTTCGGATTTGAGCCTTGTCATAAGGGTGAGGGTCATGGTTTTTTTTCAAAAGATTTTTCAAATGACTTTTTTTTCTATAAATGAAACTTTGTTGGAAATTTTGTAACGAATTCAACTAGGTATGCCATTCCAACATCCGACCACTATTTCCCAGGGTTTTGTTTAAAAACCTGAAAAATCGAGGTGATTTTCTTTGGATTGGAGCCTTGTCATAAGGGTCATGGTTTTTTTTCGAAAAATTTTTAAGTGATTTTTTTTTGTAAATGACACTTAGTTCGAAATTTTGTAACGAATTCAACTAGGTATGCCATTCCAACATCCGACTATTTCCCAGGGCTTTGATTAAAAACCTGAAAAATCGAGGTGATTTTCTTCGGATTTGAGCCTTGTCATAAGGGTGAGGGTCATCTGTTTTTGCAAAATAATTTTTGAATTGATTTTTTTTTCTGTAAATGACACTTTGTTCGAAATTTTGTAACGAATTCAACTAGGTATGTCATTCCAACATCCGACCACTATTTCCCAGGGTTTTGATTAAAAACCTAAAAAAATCGAGGTGATTTGGTTCGGATTTGAGCCTTGACATAAGGGCGAGAGACATGTTTTTTTTTCGAAAAAATTTTTTAAATTTATTTTGTTTTCTGTAAATGACACTTTGTTGGAAATTTCGTAACGAATTCAACTAGGTATGCCATTCCATCATCCGACCACTATTTCCCAGGGTTTTGATTAAAAACATGAAAATTCGAGGTGATTTTATTTGGATTTGAGCCTTGTCATAAAGGTGGGAGTCATGGTTTTTTTTTCGAAAAAAATTTTCAACTGATTTTTTTTCGTAAATGACATTTTGTTGGAAATTTTTTACGACAACGCCAAAATCCAAAGAAAATCACCTCGATTTTTCAGGTTTTTAATCAAAACCCTGTGAAATAGTGGTCAGATGTTGGAATGGCATACATAGTTGAATTCTTTACAAAATTTCCAACAAAATGTCATTTAGGAAAAAAAATCAGTTGAAAATTTTTTTCGAAAAAAAACCGTGACTCCCACCTTTATGACAAGGCTCAAATCCAAATAAAATCACCTCGAATTTTCATGTTTTTAATCAAAACCCTGGGAAATAGTGGTCGGATGATGGAATGGCATACCTAGTTGAATTCGTTACGAAATTTCCAACAAAGTGTCATTTACAGAAAACAAAATAAATTTGAAAAATTTTTTCGAAAAAAAAACATGACTCTCGCCCTTATGTCAAGGCTCAAATCCGAAGAAAATCACCTCGATTTTTCATGTTTCTAATCAAAACCCTGTGAAATAGTGGTCGGATGTTGGAATGGCATTCCTAGTTGAATTCGGTACAAAATTTCGAACAAAGTGTCACTTACAGAAAAAAATCCTTCGCTCCAAAGCTTTGATCCCACCAGCTCAATAGGGGTACATCCACGAGATAAGATATCTGCCGGATTCTGTCGTGACGGTACGTGCCTCCAAGTCATTCCCTTAGTTCTCTCCTGTATCTGCGAAATCCTGTTCGAAACGAAAATGTTAAAGTCCGAAGGAGGTTGACGGATCCAAGCCAAAACTATTGTCGAATCTGACCAACAATGAAAAGAGCAAGATCGAGGTGCAATTTGTGCCACTTGAGAGACAAGTTCGGACAGTAAAAGAGCGGCAGATAACTCCAACTTCGGAATCGTGAGGGTCTTCAAGGGTGCGACTCTTGATTTTGAGCAAAGTAGGTTCGAAGAAACTATGCCTTGGTTCTCTGATCGAACGTAAATGCAAGCTCCGTAAGCTGCCATGCTTGCATCGCAAAATCCATGTATTTCGCACGATGAGTTATGCTGTAGAACAAAGCGTGGAAATTTCAAGCAAGCAACTGCGGCGATCTGCGACATGTGCTCCAACCAAGCGGAATGTAAAGATTGCGGCAGAGACTCATCCAGTCGAGTTTATCCTTCCATAAGACCTGCATGAAAACTTTAAGTTTGGTTATGATCGGTGCTATTAATCCAAGGGGATCGTAAAACCTAGCGATAGCCGACAGAATGCTGCGCTTAGTTGCGGGTTTTTCAGTCCATTCGTTTGAGAAGCTGAAAAGCAAGCTATCCGATAGCGTGTCCCAAGATAAACCTAACGCCTTTGTAACGTCAGTTCCGTCGTGGAACTTTAAAGTTTTCTCCCGATCCGAGTCATCCACTCCTTCTAGCGCCGCAGGTTCGTTGGAACACCATTTGCGAATTGGGAAATGTCCTATTTCCAAGAGCGCCTTGATTTGTTGACGAATTTCAACGACCTCCTCAATGGTGTCTCCTCCTGCGATTAAATCATTGACGTAGAAATTTGTGCGTATGATTTTAGCTGCTACTGGAAACTCCGCTTCTTCATCGTAAGACAGCTGCTGCATTGCACGAATTGCCAAAAAAAGCAGCAGGCTTCGTGCCATAGGTTACGGTGTCGAGCGAGTAAACTTGTACCTCGTCTTCTGGCCGATCGCGCCACAAAATACATTGTAGAAACTGATGGGGATGTGTAACCCGAACGCAGCGATACATTTTGCAAATATCTCCACACAAAGCAACCTTGAAAAATCGAAAACGAAGCAGGGTAGTGAAGATTTTTGGTTGAATGGAAGGGCCAGCGTACAACAAATCGTTTAACGAATATCCCGAAGTGGACTTCGCGGAGCCGTCGAAAACAACTCGCAGTTTTGTCGTTGTGGTGGGGTAGGTAATATTGATGAGCTGCAGCATTTTTAGTTGCTAGAGACATGTGGCCAAGGTTTAGATACTCGTCTATAAAGGCTTTATATTGCGACTTCAGCTCTAAATTTCTAGCTAATTTGGCCTCGAGTGCTTTAAAACGAAGAAGCGCACGATCGAATGAATCTCCTAGAACATCGAAAGTAGTTTTGGCAGGAAGTAGTACCGAATATTGGCCAGATTCAAGCCGAGTGTATTCCTGCTGAAATAGCTGCTCGCATAGAGCTTCCTCTTTCGAAATGGTTTTTGTAGAATCTGCGCAATTGTCGATTTCCCAAAATTTCTTTAGTATCTCAGAGATCGACTCCGACTCCGAATGAGTGCTGGGCTCTTGAGATATGGAAACTAAAGATGAGCGACCGGAAGATCCTACTGTCAGACACCCTGAGACGATCCAGCCAAGTCTGGTTTTCTGCAGAGTGGGTAAATTGCTGCCTAATCGAATTTGTCCAATACAAAGCAGCTCGAAGAATATGCTTGCTCCAATAAGCAAGTCGATGCGTTGACTTTTGTAGAAGAGCGGGTCGGCGAGCTCGAGATTTTCCGGTATTTTCCATTCAGACGCGTTAAGATCGAAATGCGGGTGATAATCGGTTATTGACTGGGTGACAGCAGCTGAGAGCGAAGTGCTATACTTTGCGTTACTCGACTGCGCGAAAATATAAACCGATTTATCCGAAGCGAGCGAGGATTCACCGATTCCTGATATGGAGATGACTGACCGATGGACCTTGAGCTGAAGCTGATTGGCGAAACGAGAGGTGACGAAATTGATTTGAGAAGCCGAATCGAGCAGGGCTCTGCATGGCACGAACACGCCAGAGCGATTTTTTACGTAGACTATGGCGGTAGCAAGCAGCACGTATTCGGATCTAGTCGGCGATGAAGCTAAAGGCTGTATTTTGGACAAGGCTAGAGAGACGTGAGATGATCCTTGCGGAAGTATTTCTGGAGCAGGCTGGGGCAGGGTTGCAACGGGATTTGGTTCCAAGTGAAGAAGACTATGATGCCTCTGGCGGCAGTGTCTACAGTTGCCAGACTTGCATTGCTGTAGGCTGTGTCCCTTTCGTAGGCAGTTAAGGCAAAGATGTAGCCTTTTTGACTCTCTATACCGCTGATTGGGGTTCAATCCTAAGAATTGTGGACATTTTGTCAAATAATGTTCCCTAGACTCGCACAGGGTACATGCTGGCATAGTTGATGATGAAGCAATGAGGGTGCTACGACAAAATTTGCTAGCTACTTTTCCAACCTGTTTGCTAGGTGCTTGGCTTACCATAGCGTATTCCAAATTTTCCATCATGCGGCATCTAAGATCCAAAAACGATGAGAATTTATCCCAATTTGGCAGCTCCTTGGAAGGCAACCTTTCTTCCCACCTCTCCTGGGTCTGAATGTCCAGTTTTGAAACGATGAGATGGATTAAAAGGCCGTCATAGATTTCCTTCGTAGAGGCCATAGAAGCCAGGGCGCGCAAATGAGAATTTGCCTTGTCGCTCAACTGCCGCAGGCTACTTGCGGATCCCTTCTCCACCCCTGGTAGCTTGAATAAAGACCGAACATGAGCCTGAAAGTGCAATAATTTATTATCAAATCTCGAGGTTAATAATTCCAAAGCCCTGTCGTAATTATTTTCCGTGGGCTCTAGAGAGCGAATTGCATCCAGCGCTATGCCGTCCAAACATGCACGAAGATGCTGGAATTTTTCCACCTTTGTTAGGTCTTCGTTCTTTCCCACTACCGTGTTGAACATGGCGAAGAAATCCGGCCAATCGATGTATGCTCCGCCAAATCGCGGAAGCTGAAATTCCGGTAGCCTGGTGGGCCGCGAGTTGCACTTGAAGGCGGCAGTGTGGCCACCGAGGATGCCATGCAGCTCAGTTGAATTTGCCAACGACTTTCTCTTTTCACTATTGAGATGGCGGCAGATCCTTCCTTTCGTCTCACAATATGCCGTGGTAAAGGTTAAGCGCGCATCCGACTCCAGCTCCTAGATCACAAGCCGTTCGAGGTTAAGTCGAGAGCTATCGAAAGTCTGTAGGGTATTCGAAAGTCACCGCACGAAATTTGCACTGCACCTGCACTTGGGCCAGCGAAAACCAAAGACCGAATTTGAGGGTAATGACGGAATCGAAAACAAAGGGCAACGACCTCTGCCTGGCGCGCGAAGTTGTATAACACTTGCCGTTATGCAAAAGGTTCAGACTGTACAGCAGCCGATTCTAACTGTACACTGTATGTATGTATGTCGGTATGTGCGAATACCGTGCGAAGCGATGCGAAAAGGTTTGTGTGTGTGTGTGGCCCTGCCGCGGCACGTGCAAGGGGCGCTTAGAATTATTAAAACGATATTTAATAATTGCTTCACTTTAACACAAGTTCACGATCACGTCGGGGTCACCAATGTTTAGAGGAGGCATTCATTTATGCCACCTTTTTTGCGAATGTTTAACGAATTTTAAACTATGCGGTGTGTGAACGGTGTTAAAAGAAAAAGCCGAGAGTATGGTTCGATTTCAAATATATATGTTTTATTGCTGGAAGCGAGAGCGAACGAACTGCTTCGTACCAGCGATCAAAAGCGAATGCAAAAATGAGAGTGCGCAGGTCCGAGAGATCAGCGAGCGCAGTCGCTTATCTCGGCTTATCTCACCCACGCATGCAGATAGATAAATGAGAAGCTTTTGTTTACATTGTTGTTGTCAGTGATGCTGACCAAAATAGAAAACAATAAATGGTTTTAAAATGATTTTAAATTGATTTCTGCGGCTGCTCCCGACAGACACTTTGTTGGAAATTTTGTAACGAACTCAACAAGGTATGCCATTCCAACATCTGACCACTATTTCCCAGGGTTTGATTAAAAACTTGAAAAATCGAGATGATTTTCTTTGGGTTTTGGCGTTGTCGTAGGGGTGGGGTTCATCATTTTTTTTCGAAAAAATTTTTCTATTGATATTTTTTCTGGAAATTCTACTTTGTTGGAAATTTGTTAACGAATTCAACGAGGTATGACATTCAAACATTCGACCACAATTTCCCAGGTGTTTGATTAAAAACATGAAAAATCGAGATGATTTTCTTTGGATTTAAGCCTTGTCATAAGGGTGGGGGTCATGGTTTTTTTTCGAAAAAATTTTTCAAATGATTTTTTTTCGTAAATGACACTTTGTTGGAAATTTGGTAACGAATTCAACGAGATATGACATTCAAACATTTGACCACAATTTCCCAGGGGTTTGATTAAAAAACCGAAAAATCGAGTTGATTTTCTTTGGATTTTGGTTTTGTCATAAGGGTGAGTGTCATGTTTTTTTTCGAAAAAATTTTTCAACTAATTTTTTTTTCTGTGGGGGTGGGGGTCATGTTTTTTTTTTCAAAACAATTTTTCAAATGTTTTGTTTTTCTGTAAATGACACTTTGTTGGAAATTGTGTAACGAATTTAACTAGGTATGCCATTCCAACATCTGACCACTATTTCCCAGGGTTTTGATGAAAAACCTGAAAAATCAAGGTGATTTTGGATTTGAGCCTTGTCATAAGGGTGGGGGTCATCTGTTTTTTTCGAAAACATTTTTCAAATAATTTTTTTCTGTAAATGACACTTTGTTCGAAATTTTGTAACGAATTCAACGAGGTATGCCATTCCAACCACTATTTCCCAGGGTTTTGATTAAAAAACGAAAAATCGAGCTTATATTATCCGGATTTGGGACTTGTCATAATGGGGTGGAGGACATGATTTCTTTCCGAAAAAATTTTTTAAATGATATTTTTTTCTGTGAGTGACACTTTGTTGGTAACGAATTCAACTAGGTATGCCATTCCAACATCTGACCACTATTTCTCAAGGTTTTAATTAAAAACCTGAAAAATCGAGGTGATTTTCTTCGGATTTGATCCTTGTCATAAGGGTGGGGGTCATGTTTTTTTTATCGGAAAAATTTTTCAAATGATTTTTTTTTCTGTAAATGACACTTTGTTGGAAATTTTGAAACGAATTCAACTAGGTATGCCATTCCAACATCTGACCACTATTTCCCGGGGTTTTGATTAACAACCTGAAAAATCAAGGTGATTTTCTTTGGATCTGGGCCTTGTCATAATGGGGTGGGGGTCATGTTTTTTTTTATCGAAAAAATTTTTCAAATGATTTTTTTTCTGTTAATGACACATTGTTGGAAATTTTGTAACGAATTCATAAACGTATGCCATTCCTACATTCGACCACTATTTTCCCAAAACCGAAAAATCGAGGTGATTTTCTTTGGATTTGATCCTTGTCATAAGGGTGGGGGTCATGTTTTTTTTATCGGAAAAATTTTTCAAATGATTTTTTTTTCTGTAAATGACACATTGTTGGAAATTTTGTAACGAATTCAACTAGGTATGCCATTCCAACATTCGACCACTATTTCCCAGGGTTTTGATTAAAAACATGAAAAATCGAGGTGATTTTCTTCGGATCTGGGCCTTGTCATAATGGGGTAGGGGTCATGTTTTTTTATCAAAAAAATTTTTCAAATGATTTTTTTTTCTGTAAATGACACATTGTTGGAAATTTTGTAACGAATTCATAAACGTAGGCCATTCCTACATTCGACCACTATTTCCCATGGTTTTGATTAAAAAACCGAAAAATCG